CTTGGAGGATAATAGAGGATGGAAGAGTGAGGGGCAGAGAGAGTGACCAGCTCATCACACCAGGAGAAGGTGGCTCCTCTTGTTTCTTGACTGGCTGGAGCCAAATTCTCCTAGGGGCAGAAAACCAAGATGGATTCAGTAGGAAACATCCATCTGTTTCTTGCAAATCATAGTTTTTGTGCCCCATTCTCATGTTAATTCCAAACTGGGAAATAATTCATATGTAGAGAACTGAGCTTTACCTGAGTTGAGAAAGTGTGAGGGCCTGGGACTTGAACCTTTACTCCAGTCAAAGCTCAGCTCCTGCTCCTGCTGCTCTCATGGGCAGTTCACTCGCTCCCTGTCCTGGATTCAGAACCATCTGACTGTTCAGTCAGCTTGGCCCTTCCTACTGGGCCCAGGGTTCTGACCCCAGGAGCTTTGTACCAGCCCACCATCAACAAGTTCCTGGCTACCTTTGACTGGGGCGTGGGGCCCATCCCTGGATCCTGGGTGCCTTTCTGGGCCTCTTCTCCCAAGTATTCAGAATATTTTTCTGCCTGATGTCTGCACCATGTATTTTTCAGAGCAGAGATGAGAAAAGGCTCTGCTTTCTCCTTGTTTTCTTGTTAAAGATTCCTAGTGCCTCGGGCTCTTACTGCCTTCTTGGCTCTTTTCCTGGTGACCCCCCCCCACACACACACACACCATGGTGATGCCCATGCAACCCACAGCCCTTTCTCTGGTGTTTTTCCTGATAGGTCAGTTGTGCTTTGCAAGAATGGAGTTGAAGCAAGGCTGTCCCCAAGTCTTACCTGTGGTTTGTTTCATTATTGCATTCTCCTGCCTGCTCCCCAACCTCCCAGGACCCCCACCCCCAGACCATAGGCTAAATGCCTGGAGGGAGAGGCTAGTTTTGATTTGTTGCCCCTAGAGTCTGCCTTCAGAGCTTGGCTATGGCTTCTGGGGCTGGATGCAGGTGGCAGGACATGAGAACCTTCAGGGGAAGGACCACAGGAAGTCAGTGATACAGGTGGTAACTGATGGAATCTTACAGAAAATTAGCATGGGGAGGGACTCTCAGGACCCCAGTTAGGGAGAAGAAAAAGTGCGGCCCATGCTTTTTCTTAAAAGGTTGTACCAACATAGGTTTCCATCGGTGCTGCAGGAAAGTGTCCTCGCCAGCATTGAGTACCTGCATGTCGGAATATCCTTGTTAATTGGAGAGGTGAAGACGGCATTTAATTTGCAAGTCTTAAAGTATTAGTGAGCTGAAACGTTGTTTTAAAATATTTTCCCTGCTTACATTTTTTTGTGAATTGTCCTTTCCTGGTATTTTTGTGTGTCTGGTAAAATATACATAACATTATTTACCATTTTAACCATTTTTTAAAGAAGAATGATCTACTTTAATTTGATTTATTCATTCATTTTATTTTAATTTGACCAGAGAGAGAGAGAGAAGAAGAGTGAAAAAACAAGCCACCAGGTCTGGGACTCGAACTGTGGTTGGCCATGTGGGAGTGACTAGCACCCTAACCACCTCTTGGTCCCATTTTAACCATTTTTAAGTATACAATTCTGTGGCATTAAATGCATTCACATTGCTATGCAGCTGTCAGCACCATCCACCTTCAGGGCCTTTTCATTTTTCTCAGCTGACACTTTGTACCTGTTAAACACACAAACTCTCTTCTCTGCTCCCACTAGCCCCTGACAACCATCCTTCTACTCTCTGTCTCTATGAATCTGACTACTCCAGGTACCCACGTAGGAGAAGTTACATTTGTCCTTTCCTGATTGGCTTATTTCACTTAGCAAAATATCTTCAATCTTTTTCCTTTTTTTTTTTTAAAGTTTCTGCTGTAGGGCGTGTGTGATTGAGAGAGAGAGCGAGCAAGCAAGAAAGAACGAGAAGGAAAGTGAGAAATCATCCCCCGAGTGAGTAGGGATGGCCATACTGCAGTTCCTTCTCTTCATTTCCTCTTAGGATTCTGAGCACACATACACATACACAAGCCACTGGGTTTGGGATTGACTGTGCAGCTAGCCATGTGGAATCCAGCACCTTAACTTCTACATCACCTGCTGGCCCTGTTTTCAATCATTTTATAGTATGTGTCAAAATGTCTTCCTGTTGAAGGCTGAATAACATTCCTTTGGATGTCTAGCTATATTTTGTTTACTCATTCATCCATCCATGGACACTTGGGTTGCTTCCACCTTTGGTGGTCTTATTATTTTTTTTTTTTCATTGAAGCCTAAACAGTCCTAATTTTTAACCACTTTGTATGAACTCTTCATGAATTAAGAATGTTAATGCAATGCCAACACATGTGTCCTGGGGAAGTGTGGCTATTTTCATCCTCTTCCATTAGTGTGAAAGGATATCTTCATGCTGTGAAGCTCTCAAGTTGGGTGTCCAGGTCTTCAGGTCTACTCCAGGAAAGTGTAGACCCTTCAGGTCTCCCTGGTCTAGACCTCTGAGAATATCCTGATAAATACTAACACAGCTTCCCCTTAAGAACACCATGTGCCAAGCCCCAAGCTGCCTACTTCATAGGTTAGGCCATGGAATATTCCTCACAACAGCGTGAGGAATTAGCTGTTAGCCCTGTTTTCTCAGGAGGAAAACAGAGGCCTGCAGAGGTCCTGCAGCTTGCCCAGAATTCACAGGTAGTAGGTGACAGAGCAGGATCGTGGACCTGGTTGCGTAAGCTCCCCTGGTCTGTAGTCCACGTTGGTGGGAGCAGCAGCCGCCTGGGGCACCGACGAAAGCTGACCTCAGCCGAGCTCCCACAAGCTCTGGCGCCACACGGGTGAGTTGTCGCTGCTGACGTCAGCCTCAGCAGCCCGCTCCTCTCCCCACCACAGCCCTGCTCCCAGCCAGGGTTTGGGAATGTGTATGTGGATCCTCCCTGCCTGCTCACTGCGGAGCTGAGCTAACCATGCAGCTGTGTCTCAAAGCCTCTGGGCGCCACTGGGCTGCTATTCTGAGAACCAACTGCTGCCTGACTCCCGCCTCCACCTTGCAGCTCTTGTGGGCTTTGTTGGGCTTAATAATTTGGGGGTTGGCCCCCAGAGCAGACTCTGAACCACATCACTGGCCGGTACCTACGACATGCCAAGGGACTCCCTCTGGCCGCTTCTCCTGAATACCAGCTTTCCTATTAAGTAGGCCCAACCGCACTCGTCCAGGGAGGCATGTCTCCATGAACCCTCTGATGGCCTCCTCTCCTGTGCTGCTGCTTCTCTGCGTACCGGGACTTGAGCTGGAACGTGAGAGGTGCGGAAGACCTGCTGGTTCCCACCTCCCCTCCCCCGCTTCTCTGTTAAATCCATCTCTGGCACCTTCTCACACAAGTCCAGGTTTGGGTAGACCAGTGGATATTACTGCAAAACCAAGGCCAAGTCTGATACTTCTTAGTGTTTATTGGGGCAGCAACACAAGGCTACACTTTGTGTGTGTGTGTGTGTGTGTGTGTGGAGTGTCATGGAGCAAACCTTCAAATTAGAACATTCTCCTGCCCCATGAACCTCCTAGACAAGAACGTGATTTGAGTTGATCTGCTGTAAACAAAACGTAGCTCGCAGAACGGTTGTGCCTACGTGTGCACACCCACTGTTACGCTCGTTACACTCACACACACCATGCCTTGGCTGTCGCGGAGGAGGTGTGACTGGTTCTCTTTCAACCGTCCGAGTGGTTGCTGGGAAGTAGGACATCACAAAGCTAAGAGAGAACAGAGGCGCTGAGGGGGAAAAGATGTCGAAGAGTATTTCCAGAAAATGCAGGCAGCGGGGTAGAGAATGGGAACAGCCCAGTGCCCCATGCCTGGGCAGCGTGCCCTCAGCCTCGCCGCAGTGCTGGCGCCTGGAGAGCTGCGGCAGGCAGGAACGTCCCGAGGCAGCGCCTGGCTCCGCTGTGAGCTGGGCTGCCCAGGGTGGTCCCCGAGTCTGTCCAGCAGCCACTTCATCTCATCAGCTGAGCTAAATACTCAGGGCCTCCCTTGCCCTGTTTTCTCCAAGGATGGGACTAATCTGTTCTTCAGCCCTCTTCGCTTCTCCCGCTCTGCTTAAGCCTGGAGGAGCCTCCTCTCTTTCCTGGCCCCAGCACTGCCGGAGCCCTGGGCCCCTGAGTGTTTCTCTGTCTCCGTTGATCATACCCCACCAGAGGCACGGAGGTCAGGAGATAGGAAACCTATGGGGGAATAAGGCAGGAACAAGAAAACATGTCCACACATAAAAAGTACACGACAAAACCAAATAAAATGACCCGGCACTGTACCCATCTGGTATCCCTTACCTCCCAGGAGCGACTTGATTCAATGTCTCCATTTATTCTTGGCCTCCTTGGCAGGCTTGCTCAGGGCTGAGGGGTGTCTTAGCTCTAAGTTTCTGCAAAGAGGCATTTGCATCCCATTTTCAGTCCTTACCTGCCATTGCTCTGTTCTCTTCCCAGCAGGGATTAGAATTTAGAACTTTGTACAGTTCATGTAAGCCCCAGGTGAGTGCTGACCAGGTGGCGATCTAGCAGACGAAGTTGAGTGAGCTGCTGTGGGAGTACAAGAAAAGCACAATGGCTCTGGCTCCTGGGTCAAGTGGCTGCCGTTCTCTGGGAAGACTTGAGGCAAGAGGAGGAATCTTTCCTAATCCCCTTGGGGGCAGGACTCAGGGGAAGGAATGCAGTGGGCGTAGCAGGAGGCCTATAGCACCATGTTGCAGTTTTCCAGGGCACCGTCACCTGGTATTATGTGTAAACGGCACCCCGGAGTGGAGCGCATATTAGGTCACCATTAGGTATGCAACAGTGTCCAGCACTAAAAATGTGAGGATTAAGGAATGTCCTATCTATCCTGTGTCTGTCTGTGTCTGTGCTGGGCCTGGCTTGGTGGGGGACATTATAGCAAGAGTCTTTTGGCTTCAAAGAAGGGCTTAGGCTCAGGTGGGGAAGGCAGTCTCATTCACACTTACAGCCCAGAGGGCCTTAGAGAACCACAGTGACCCAGATGGAGTGTGTGCAGAAGGAACTCCCTAAGGGAGGATGTCAGTGTGGGGCTAGCTATGCTGGGCAGACCTGGTGGACTAGACACCACTCCAACAAGCCACCATGCCAGGGTGACTGGAGCAGATTTCTCTCCAGTGTTAACCCTGCGCCTGTCCCCAGAGGCTGGGCCCCAGAGCACCTCCTTGATGAAAAGATCCCTTTCTCTGTTTCTCTGCAGCCTTCTATACCCCAGGTCCCAAACTACAGGCTGTCGATGACGATCCCAGACTGGCTGCAGGCGATCCAGAATTACATGAAGACACTACAGTATCCTTCCACCCAGGGTCTGAGCAGACCCAGCCAGAGGATGGGCATGGCAGTTGTAAGCCTGTGGCCTGCCCATCCCCAGCTGGTCATCAGAAGCTCTTGAAGGTTGGTGAGGCCTGGCATGGTGGGATGCCCCTAGGTGAGATGTAGAAGGAGTGCTGAGAGAGGATGTGATTGCAACAACCAGACCCTCCTACCTTCAGGGGGGCTGTGAGCTGGTTGGCAAGGGGTGCTGTGATGGGTAAAATCCTCGAGCCCCTCTGGCTTTTCTTTTTCTCTCTCCTTTCCTCCCTCCCTCCCCTTTTCCTCCCATCTTCTCCTTCTCCACCGCTTTCCTCTTGGGCATCTCTGTCCCCCTCTTCCCCTATTGTCTATTTTTCTTTCTCCCTCTTTCTTCTGTTCTTCTGTTCCCTTTCTTTCCCCTCTCCCTTGTCTGCCTTCATCTCTGACCACTCATGAGCTATGAGGCCCACCTGGTGCTGCCTCGGGCTCTGCAGGTGACCTAGGCTGGTGACCTTGCTTGGTCTGTATGAGCAGACAGGGCTCTGGAATGAGGGCTCTCTCCCCACACTGGAGCTTGAAGAAGGGCTGAGGAACCCTGTGGTTCAGGCTGGGTCCAGACCAGCCAGCCTTGGGTCCTTCTCTCTCCAGTCTTCGGGTTGTTTGCAGTCAGGATTAGATCGCTCCTGAGGCCCCCACAAACAGCACTGTGGGAACAAAGGGAATAAATGGAAGCAGATGGTCTGCTTGGTACTCTTTGTATTTTAGAGGAATCAGAGTCAGATGGGGAGCTGGCCCCAGGACATTGTCTAGGAGGTTAAGCTTCTGCTGACCTCTGTCCTTCTGCCATAAAGACATAATGCTTAGCTTGTCCTGCAAGGCACTGGGCACACTGGCTTGCTTTGTGTTTGTCTGCTCATACCCAGCCTTAGGCAGGAAGGATTTCAGGGGGCACCATATACATGCCTTTCATGCCCCAGATGAGCCCCTCCTCTGTGTTACAGGCCAGAATGTTTTCAGTGGGTTTTTGTGCCTTCTATAAAGGACCAAACACCGCCACCATCCCCACAGAGCTGGTATCACCAGATGGGAAGAGTAACACTCATTTCTTCTTGTTTGGTTAAGGAAGTTACTTGGCCAGCCTCAGTTCCCACATTATGGATCATCAGCTCCTTTGCTTGGCATCTCCCCAGTGGAATCCTGAAGCAATATCAGAGAGAGAAGGAAGTGCCAGTCTCTAAGAGTGAGGCTGACAGCCCTAGCCCTGGGACAGCTATCTGGCGTAGATGCTGATCCCCAAACCTGGACCGATGTGGAGAGTTCCATGTTGTCCAAGCCCCATGCTCTTGCCAGGATAGACCTGGACCCCAAGAACTTACCCTTTCTGGACAAGACTGATTCCTCCCAGAATATTCTAGAAGATGACAGAAATAAGAATGGCTTCTCACTTCTGTCTAGGATATGGTCTTCACAAGGATCATCTGACCAGAGATTTAAGAGAATGAACCTGGCTGGGAATGCAGCGATAGGGACATATTTGCATGTGTTTTACATTTCATTTGCTCACACTGCATGAATCCTACAGCACATACTCAGCCAAATCTTCACTGTTGGGCTGAGGGTCTGCCTTTTTATTTTCTCCTCTCTGACCCATTACAACTGGGAATGTCAATCACTTCATCAGTTATCTCAGAGAGGGCCAGAGAAGGGACAGCACCTAGCTCCAGGTCACCTGGCCAGTGGAGTCATCACATGAGAAAGAGAGTATAGACTCTTTCTTCTACCTTCTGATTGGACTTCTATTTAGTTCTTTCATTTAGTAGGGGCTCCCAGCTGCTCTGTCCTGGACACAGTGACAGGTGCCAAAGTACGGGACTGCTTGGGGGCAGCCCTGACTCTGGATGTGTGCAGCCAGCAGTGGAGATAAACAAGGATGAGTCCTCCCTCCCCTCCAAGAACCTCTGAGCAGTGGCCAGCAGCAGGGATGGTTTTGCATGGTCTTCTGGAAAGAGGAACCACATAAATTCTGCTGGGTGGGGAGAAGGCTTCTCCCCTCTGAAGTTTTATATGTCATATTCTTAAAAAGCTGGGCAAGCCTGTATTGTCCATATTCTTATGGCCTAGCTCAGTAACTCCAAACTTGTCAACTTGTTAAGATTACCCTCTGGCCAGCAGAGGACATGGTGGTTAAGGCGCTGGATCCCTACATGGTCGGCAGCAGTATGAACCTTTACCCAGTGGCTTGAAAATCACTCCAGTCATGTACACGTGCCTGCTCCAAATCAGAGAGGAGAAAGGACTGCTGTACGGCCATCCCCCCAGTGGCTGATTTCTTATTTTTCCTTTCTGTCCCTATGGCCAAAACAAGTACAACAAACAAACAAAAAGAATCACCGACCCTGGCCCTCACCCTGGAATTTCCAATTCATTAGTCTGAGGTGAGGTGACTGAGTGGTATCTGGGGTTAAGAACCATGCCCTGAAAACAGAATCACCAGGGGTGCCGAGGCTCTGCTTAGAACAAGATATCCTGGCAGTCCTTAGGCGTTCCCTTGTTCCCTTGTCTGTGCCTGGAGAGGAAGCCCAGCCTTTCTCAGGCAGGCGTGAAGTGCCTCTGGGCTCTCAGCCCCTCTGCCTCTCCCCTTGGTGGGGCTCCTCCAACCTGGGCTGCAGAAGCTCCAGGGTACAGGTCATGCTTCATTAGCACCTTCCCAGCATGCACTTTTTCGATAGGATTTTGTCTGAGGTAAGAGGGAAACATGCAGAGCAAGTTTTTTTTTAGATTTAGAAAATTCAAGATCAGGTTTCAAAGAACACAACATGGAGGAATCTTGGTATTCTTCAGAAAGACCTGATCCAGGCTTGTGGGTCCCTAAGACACTCTGGGTAGTCACCTCATCCTAAAATGTGGAGTGGCGCCCTCTTCTCAGAGTTAGTCGTCAATATCAGGTGCCAGTCCAGGCATGAGAAGAAAGTAATGTCTCCACAGTAAGTTCTGGAGTCTGTACATTCTTCGGTCCAGCCCCGTTTACCCTGCCATTCTTTCTATCCATCATTCATTATCATTCATATACTTACACTTTATTTAGTCTTCATCATTTAATAATATTTACTGGGGCCAGCAGGTGGCCTGGTGGTTGAGGCACTGGACTTCTTACATAGCTGACCATGGATTGAGTCCTGGACATGGCAGCTTGCTTTCTCACTTTTCTCTCTCTCTGGGAAGTGTGTGTGAAAAAATAATGGTAATGACAGATAAAAGGAATAATTATTCTAAAAACAATAATATTTGCTAACTTGCATATGTTTGGCCTGTGTCAGGCTATATAGGTGATATACACATGATAAAAGAATGGCCCCCACTCTCAAACAGCTTGTAGTCTATCGGTGAACGAAGACTTTTTTTCCCCAAAGGTACATGGACTCATGAGAGAGAGAGAAAAAGAGGGAGAAAGCAGTCCCTAAGAGGCACAGTCACTCCTCAATTCCTTCTTCCCCATTTCTTCATCCTGTCAGGATTTGAGGCATGCATGTGCATGTACCCAGCTTTTTTTTTTTTTTTTTTTCAAGCTGGGGGGTTAGGGATTCAAACACAGCTGGCCATGTGGGATCCGGATTCCTTAACCCCTGGCTACAGGGCTGGGCCAAGATATGTATTCTTACTTAACCAGACTCCAGAGCAGATTGAAAAGAGCTATCATCAAGGTCAAGGTGGTTTGAGGTCCAAGTTTGAAATGAGTAGGTTTCCAGGGCAAGATAGTGAGGATTTAGAGCTTCTTGGCTACTGCTGACTACTGGCCGCTCTGGAAAGTCCCCACTTCCTCAGCCCATTGAGAAATCAAAATGGAACTTCTTCCGCTGAAGTACTGGGACCTTCGGAGTTTCCTGTCACTTTCCCTTTACATACTTCGCACAGATACAATCACACAGGGACCCAGTTCTTTGAAATTAGGAAAATGAGACCGCTGAGTGGGTAAGTGGTGCATGACTTGTGGGCAGATGTTGCTGAGCTGCCATCTCCTCTCCCGACCTCTAGCCCTGTATCCCATTGCTCAGAAATCCTAGCCTGTAAGGGCTGGAGGTGGGGCTTCCCCGGGCTCCGTTGGAGATGGGCGAGGACTGACAGCTAGTGCAGTGGTTAATAGGAACTCTCGAGATGGAGGAGGCTTGTCCAATTTGCTGTATGAGGCCTCCCGCACTCGTTCCACCGTAATGCCCCCCGTTCTGGGGTACCGGGAGGGTGCTATGAGATACCGGCACTGACTTCTGGGAAGTAACTCTTGGAGAGGGGAGGGGAGAACTTCAGGTTTTCATCCTTCCAAGTGCAGATGTGCTTTGGTGTTCTCCTATGAGGGGATTTCTCCTCTCCACTATATCCTTGCATGGCGCCTCGTGTCGGGACAGGCATGCGGATGGACTGACAGGCAGACTGACTGGCTGCATAATTAAGTAAGTCCTGAGATCCTCTACTGTGCTCTATCCTACAGGTTAATGGAAACAGCAAAAGAAATGACCCGAGAGTCCTTACCTATCAAATGCCTCGAAGCTGTCATCCTGGGCATGTATCCTTTACGTTTACATTGTGTGTGCCTAAGTTAACTGCATAGAGGTGGCCTTGCTATGGGGCTGCTTGTGCCCTTAGCCTCACATCCTAAATTCAGAGATGATGCCATTGTCCCCTTGGAGGAAAGTGTCAGATTCCCCTGGTGTTTCTCTTAAACTTTCACCTTCTGGGGTTGAGCCAATGCAATGCCTGGCTCCTTAGACCAACGTCATTCTAACCTATTCACCACAGCCTCTGTCAGGGCCAGCTCTCAGCCAGTGACCTTGCAGCGTCCCTCATTTCAAGGAGATTTATAACTTAGAGGGACTAGAGAGATGTGTATGTGGCTGTTGCTTGCATTAATGTGACATTGCAACAGGAGAGGTAGCTGAGGAGAAATGGAATCAGAGCTGAGAAGGCTAGTATCCAAACCATCTCCAGGGAAAATTCTAAGAGTGGATTGTGAAGGAGACCAAAAATGGTGTGTATCCTGACATGACAAGAACACAGCCAAAGCAAGGGTTTGGTCTTTCCCACTCTTTCTGATCTATTTTCCTGACCCCTGGCTCTTGAGCCTGAGCTTAATATGGTCCTACCTGATGGCAGTAATTTATTAGTGGTGATGGCAATTGAGCATGGTCACATAGAAAGGCAAAGGAATGCCAAGTCATCTGAAGTGGATGACTAGGAGGGTCAGTGGCAAAGGGAACTCAGGGAAACACGGGCTGGAGAGGCGATTGCAGATAAGACTGGGTGCTGTGCTGAGCAAAGACCTTTTTCTCAAGGCTACGAGAAGGTCAGATGAAGGCTCTCAAGCAGAGAAGCCACATGGCCAATTGTAGCTTTCTAATGGACACAGTGAAGGACAGACTGGAGGAGGCTAGGACTGGACCTGCAAAACATGATAGGAGCTCTTTCATGAATGAATGGTGATGTATGAACCATGGCCCTAGAAATGAAAATGGATTTGAGGGGGTGGTATCAGGAGGTATCAAGGAGTTAGAATCTGTAGGACTTGGAGACCAACTGAATGCAGAAGTTGATGAGGAAGGACTCAACAAATCCAGGTTTGTGAATGGCGTCGCAGTCTATGGATGATGGGCTGGAGGAATAAATGTGACAGAGAGTTGGAATCTTCAACGTGGACCTAAACTGAGACAGTAACTGTGAGAGTGGAAGTCAGGGATTGGTTTATCTTCAGCACTACTTGTGGACAATAAGACATGAGAGGGAAAAGGCAACGACTCTCATTCTGGCTTGTATAATAATGGCACAGTCCAAGGGAACACCTTGAAGGTGGGATAGAAGGGCCAGCAGGTGGTGTGGTGGCTAAGGTGCTGGCCTCCCACATGGCTGATTGTGGTTAGAGTCTCAGACCTGGCAGCTTGAAAATCACACAGGGTATGTGTGCATGCATACCCCAAATCCCAGGAGTAGAATGGGGGAAAAGGGATTGTGGCCTGGCTGTTCTCCCAGGGGGTGATTTCTCACTTCCTCTTTCAATATCTCTCTTTGTCTCTCTCTGTCAAGTACACAGACCTTATGACAATAATAACAATAATAAAGATAAGAAAAAGAAAAAAGATGGGATGGAGCAGACTCATGGGGAGCTGAGTTCGGACTCAGACATGTTGAATTGGAGGGGCATGTGGGATGCTGGGGGAGATATCTGGAGTATGGAGCTCACTTGGTGGATCTATGCTGGAATTGCAAATTTAGAAGCTGTTAGTGTTTAGGGGGCCTTCGTTGCTTCTCAAGAAGTGAGAAGAGAAAAAGATCAAGGGTGAAATTTATATATATGTGTGTGTGTGTAAATTGATATATATAATCGATAAATCTATATGTAAATTGATTTATTTATATCTATAGCTATATCTCTCTAATGTGTGTGTGTGTGAATTGATATATATAATCGATACATCTATATGTAAATGGATTTATTTATATCTATAGCTATATCTCTCTATATATACATATTTGGTCTAGTTGGATTCAAAGAACCTATAAAAGGAACTTAAGAAAGAAAGTCAGAGAGGTGGAGGGAAAACCAGGAGAGAAAGGAGGTACAGAAGTCAACAGAAGGACGCATGGTTCAGAATTATACTGGGGACCGCAGGCTTGGTCTAGTCTGGCTTCTTGGTCTCCTGAATTTTCACAGGAGGGGGAGTTTCTGTGTCTCTGCAGTCTGCAGAGCACTTGCAAGCCTGATCTGAAATGAGATGGTCCACAGGTGCATTGGCTGGTATTTGAAAAATGGAAACTTGAGCCTTATCGAGGCCCCTCCCCAACCCTCCTGTCTATTTCCTCCCTGTTTCCCACAAAGAAGATGAAACATGTGCCTGGGGAGCCCAGCAGGAGGCCAGGACTGGGGGTCAGGGCAGCAGATGGCTCAGGGCCCCAACTCTGTCATAGCAGGAGTCAGCCACAGCTGTTCAGCAGAGTCTCCTGCAAGTTTAATGGGGATGAACAATTGGCCAGGGATTTGCTGGTGGAGATCGGTGAAGGAGAACACAAGCCCAGGCCCTGCACCTGCTGGACAAGCCAACCTTGCACTTTCTGCTGATGGATGTCTGAGTGCACCTTGATGTAGCTCATCTGGCTTTCCATGATAGTCTTGTTCCTGCACAATCTTATATACCCCAGCTTCGGGGCTGTCACTAGAATGGCCTGTCACTCTTTAGAATTGTAAGAGATGGCTCTATGACCAGCCTTGGGGCCTGTCCACCTCAGAGATAGAGTGCTCTTGGTTTTCCTTTGTTCATACTGGTGCGACATTTCAGAGAAGTGCAGGGAAGATGGGGCGGGCGGAGAGATTCAGCTCACACTGCTGAACTCAGGGAAATTTGACTCTTGCACACAGACAAGAAACACAGACCTAATTCTGAATGTTACGGCATCTTTGTCTTCTCTCTTTGCTCAGTGTCAGCATTCCTGTGGCCCGCTTTCTACTCGGGCGTAGTGAAAGTGTAGCTTGGGCCATCTCTCTATTTCTTACAGGCCCTTCTGCAGGTACTGGGAAACCGGTGTTACCATGACAGCTTTGAAACTCCCAAACTTGGCTTCTGGAAAGCCTGTGTCCATGTCCTGTCCTTCCTTAGTTTCTCTTTTTTGACCTTAGCTCAGAGTTCAGGATTTGTTAGTGAAGGGTCCATTTTATGTTGCATAAGTGCATGTGCGCACTTTCATATGCATCCTGGAGAGAGATGTTCAGTTCCAAATCTTCTGAATTACGGCAGCTCTTTGGGGGGGAACTCATTGATCATGGCAGGGTTTGTCCATGAAGGCACTATGGTTTATTAAAGTAACAGGTCAGAGTCAGCAGATGGCAAAATGGTTACGTCGCTAGGCTCCCACATCATTGACTGTGGTTCAAGTCCCGGACTTGGCGGCTTAAAAAAACTCATGCTAGGCGTGTGTGCATGTGTGCCCAAAATCCCAAGAGGAGGATGGAGGAGAAGGGACTGGGATGTGACATCCCCCCTGGGGGTGATTTCTCATTTTCTCTCTCTCTGTCTCTCCAGCGAGCACACGTGCCCTATAGCAAAATCTCTCTAATAAAATAATAAATGAATAAAGTAACAGGTTCATTATGAGGCAGGTTAGGCTTATCCCAGTTGACCAGATGCTGGGCAGTGCTGTTGTTCCCTCGACTCTGAAAAAACTCAGGCTACTTCCCTGCCTCCAGCCATACTTCTAGCCCTCTCCTTTCTGTTCCCAGTTGTCCCAGGTCCCAAGGCCTCACTTATTGCTGCAATGATGTAACAAACCCTAGAGATCAGTGACTTGTGACATGATGGTCTGTTGGCCCCCCCATCCTCCCACTTTTTTACCTGGCTGACTCCGTTTGTCCCATGAGACTAACGCTGGTGTTGCTAAGCCCCTCGTTCATCCGGAGATTGCCGGGCTTGCTTTCTTAGAGCACACGTCATACTGTGTTTTAGTTTAGTTTTTTTTTTTTTTCTGTGATGTTAAAATTTATAACATACACGTCACTATTTTAAGTGTCCAGTTCACTGGCAGTAAGTACATTTGAAATGCTGTACAGTAGATGCACCACCCATCTCCAGAACTCCTTTACCTTCCTCAGCTGAAACTCCATGCCCATGAAGCAGTAACTCCCCACGACCTCTGTATGGCACCTGGCAACCACCATTCAGCTTCCTGTCTCTGTGAATTTGACAACTCTAGGTATCTAAGATAAGCGGAATCATCAACATTTATTTCTTTCATATCTGACTTCTTTCACTTAGCGTAATATCTTGAAGGTTTATCTGTGTTGTAGCAGGTAGCTGAATTTCCTTTTTTGGAGGCTAATACTGCATTGTATGTATATGTTACATCGTGTTTCCCATTATCCATCAGTGGGTATCTGAGTGGTTTCCACCTGTTGGCTGTGTTCTTATGCTGCTAAGAACCTGGGGGTACAATTAGCTGTTGGGATCCCAACTTGCAATTCTGTTAAGTGTATACCCAGAAATGGTTGGATCATTTTGGGTCGTTCTGTATAATTATTACAGGAGCCATTGTACTGACTATACTGTGTCTGTTTTAAGTCTGTCTCCCTCCAGACCTCCAGAGAAGGGTGCTTCTTTATTGGTCCACAGGTCTCCCCAGCAGGCTGTCTGGCACCCTAGACACTCCCTGAGAAGGTGTCTCTTACACTGACTTAAATAGCTAAGGGATGCCCTTATTCCTGCTCCAGAGAACTCGCCCCAGAAAGCAGGTAAGAATTTATGTAAAAGGACTCAGAAGGATGTGATTTCACTCCCTTTCTGCCAGTCTCACGGGAGGAAGTGAAGATAACGCAGGTACACGTGTTTGTAGGGAGCAGCCCTGTATTATTAAACGGAGGTCAGAGGACAAGGCTCTCCTCAGGCTGTGGGCTGTGTTCTATCAGCATCCGTCTTTTTAGGGTATCTGATTTAGCCCCCTATTGAGTGCTGTATTTTTCAGAATAAGGGAATATATCTTCACACACAATGTGAGGCGCATTCTTTCAGCAAGCATTCAACAAGCCCTCCTGTGTGCCAGGCCAATGCTATACTTAGGAGAGAGCAGGATGGAAGATGCAGTCATTGTTCTCACGAGGAACAATTACACTTCCAGAGAATGGGTAAGCACCTAGAGCTATGGGCGTTCTTGTGTGTGTGGGGGTAGGGGATACCTAAGGGAGGCTGAGGAAAGTCAGAGAAAGTGTGACACCTGAGATGGGGAGGGGGGTGGTGAGGCCGTACCAGGGAGGTTACAGCCTGGGTGACCCTTGAAGCACAGAGAGCAAGCCTGCAGCTTCCTTATCACTCAGGACAATGAGACCCCCAAAGGTTCGCATCTTCCGTGCTATACTGATGTGTGAGGGAAGCCACAAGAAAAGTTATTGCTTCAGTATGGATGTGTTGTCGTATGGAGTTTGTTTAATAACAGAATTTTTTAAAGTTTCGTGGGGAGTTACTGCTTAATGTGTGCTCGCTGGAGAGAGACAGATATAGAGAGAGGGAACATGAGCAATCACCCCCCAGTAGGGATGGCCACACTGTAAACTCTTCTCCTCCATTCTCCTCTTGGGATTTTTGGACACATGCACACATGTGCGCAGTGCGACTTTCAAGCCAACAGTCTGGAGCTCGAACTATGTTTGCCTTGTAGAATCCAGCACCTTCACCACCACACCACCTGCTAGCCCCTAGCATACTATTTTTTAACGTTTCATAATCACTTTGTTTGATAGCTTTGTAATGGAAAAGGTCATGTCATATGAAGGTCACTTAGAGGTCATGTTAAATAGTCACTTTGTCTGATTTCACTAACGTGCTAAGGGCAGTGGCCACTGATATGTGCATTCTCCTTGGTCTCAGGCCCTATTTCTCAAAGATGCCCAAGGTTTACTGTGGGTCACTGTGGTAAGTCTGTACCGAGGATTGATGGGCAGAGGCCAATTCACTGCAGGACCTTGCTCAGGGATGTGGTCCAAGTTGTGAAGAAGATGTGAGATGCTGAAAACCCTTAAGCAGAAGAGTGGCACATACCAAGTTTTGGCTCAAATAAATCACTCTGGCCACTGTGTGGGAAGTGAATTGGAGTGAGCCTAAGAAATGGAGAGGACAGATCCTCAGAGAGTGGAGACTGCATCCACCCTCTGAGCACTTACTGTGTGTAGGGCACTCTCTTGGGCACCTGGATTGATATTTACCCTGGATATGCTCTGCAGTCACCATAGGTGTTCAGCAAAGGAGCCCCATGGTGAGTTTCCAGTACTCCTCTCCAGGAAGGACTGCGTCTGCAGGTGACAACAGCTTAGCCAGGCCTGTTGTGGGTCTTTGAGATGAGCTTACGAATGTGATGCTTCTTGTCCGTGTTTCAGAGGGGGCAGTTACTTGAAGCTGCACCCTGTGGAGTGGCTGGGTCAAAACTGAGGTAACAGGAAGAGGCTGTTACTAATTCCAAATGGAGCAGTATGTGAAGAGAGTCAAGGTATGATGCTACATGGGTTGGGGACTGAGGGAGGCAGCTTGCTGGTATTCAAGGCTGCTGCACAGCAACCTTCACCACCACACCACCTGCTAGCCCCTAGCATACTATTTTTTAACGTTTCATAATCACTTTGTTTGATAGCTTTGTAATGGAAAAGGTCATGTCATATGAAGGTCACTTAGAGGTCATGTTAAATAGTCACTTTGTCTGATTTCACTAACGTGCTAAGGGCAGTGGCCACTGATATGTGCATTCTCCTTGGTCTCAGGCCCTATTTCTCAAAGATGCCCAAGGTTTACTGTGGGTCACTGTGGTAAGTCTGTACCGAGGATTGATGGGCAGAGGCCAATTCACTGCAGGACCTTGCTCAGGGATGTGGTCCAAGTTGTGAAGAAGATGTGAGATGCTGAAAACCCTTAAGCAGAAGAGTGGCACATACCAAGTTTTGGCTCAAATAAATCACTCTGGCCACTGTGTGGGAAGTGAATTGGAGTGAGCCTAAGAAATGGAGAGGACAGATCCTCAGAGAGTGGAGACTGCATCCACCCTCTGAGCACTTACTGTGTGTAGGGCACTCTCTTGGGCACCTGGATTGATATTTACCCTGGATATGCTCTGCAGTCACCATAGGTGTTCAGCAAAGGAGCCCCATGGTGAGTTTCCAGTACTCCTCTCCAGGAAGGACTGCGTCTGCAGGTGACAACAGCTTAGCCAGGCCTGTTGTGGGTCTTTGAGATGAGCTTACGAATGTGATGCTTCTTGTCCGTGTTTCAGAGGGGGCAGTTACTTGAAGCTGCACCCTGTGGAGTGACTGGGTCAAAACTGAGGTAACAGGAAGAGGCTGTTACTAATTCCAAATGGAGCAGTATGTGAAGAGAGTCAAGGTATGATGCTACATGGGTTGGGGACTGAGGGAGGCAGCTTGCTGGTATTCAAGGCTGCTGCACAGCAGTACCAGGGACAGAGAAAACAGCAGACAAGGTGCCAGTGTGACCCATTCTGTCACCTTCCTGCCCCCTATCTTCCAGATAATCAACCCATCTGCCTTCTATCTCCATTTCCTGGACTGTGGTTTTCATGCCTTACCTGGACCAATGCATGAGACTTCAGTTCCTGGTCTGTCCCACACAGCAGTCTGAGGACATCATTTTGATTGCAAAACAAACAAGCAAGTCTTTAATAACTCCTCGTTCTCTGTAGGAAACTGAGTGAGGAAAATGTGCCTTGTTTTGTTTATCATTTATTCAGTCACTAATGAACATGACACGTTTTTCTCTGCCTCATATTAATTTGGTTTTGGTACACACCATAGAACAGGTACTCAGAGATACCTAGTTAAACATGCTGGACTTACAGGTTTGTGAGCCTGAAATTCTGAAAGGAGGGAGAGATGGAGGAGAAGGGACCATGGTCACGCCACGGCGTGACCATCCCCGATAAGGGATGCTTTCTTGTTCTCTCTCTCCCTGGCAAGCATGCACGCTCTGTGGCAAATCTAAAGTAAGAAATAACAACTGAAAGGATTAGTCTGAAAGGTTAGATATGGGCCTGCTTGGAGGCACAGGGATGGATTTACTGGCCCCTATGAGAGACTTTCTTTCCTGGGAGGCCGAGCTCTGTGCACTTTCAAAGCCTTCTTCCTCTTCCTTGACTCAGATGGTCTAAGATACTTAACAAATGGACAGCCTTCCATTGAGCGATTCCCCATCAGCTTTAAAACCTACTTCTCAGGAAACTACTTTCACCATGTTGTGCTGGGGATTTACTGCAATGGCCGCTATGGCTCACTGGGCATGAGCCGAAGGGCTGAGCTGATGGACAAGCCATTGACCTTTCGGACTCTGAGTGACCTCATCTTTGATTTTGAAGACTCCTACAAGAAATACTTGCACACGGTCAAGAAGGTCAAGATTGGGCTGTACGTCCCCCATGAGCCTCATAGCTTCCAACCTATTGAGTGGAAGCAGCTGGTCCTCAATGTCTCAAAGATGTTGAGGGCAGACATAAGGAAGGAGCTGGAGAAATATGCCAGAGACATGAGAATGAAGGTAGGTGTTGGAGACAAATAAGCAATTCACAAGGGTCCTTGAACATGTCTTTTTCCCCTCCCTCTCTGTACCAGGTTCCATATTTCTAGGATGGTCAAAAGTATCTTGAGGGCCAGTGTTGGTGTGATGGTTAAGGCAGCTGGATCCCCCATGGCCAATTGCAGAGTTTGAGCTCCGGACCTGGCAGCTTGAAAAACATGCCTGGCACATGTGCACGTGTGTCCAAAACCTGGGAAGGAGAAATGGAGGGGAAAGACTTGCAGTGTGACCATACTCCATGGGTGGTGCTTTCTCACTTTCTGTCTTTCTCCTCTCTCTCTGTTTCCAGCAAGAATGTATGTGCCCTCCCGCAAATTAAAAAAAAAAAAAAATTCTTGCTAATAGCCACCTTACTAAAATGAAAACTACGAGGGTATTTTATAAAAATCATGGGAAACTGGAATTAAAGTACAAGGTTATTTTGGTACAAAAATATTTTGAAACTCACACAGCGTTTTCATAATACACATTTCTCGTGAACTTTTTGAAGACCCCTGTAGAAGTTATTTATTATTTGATAAACAAAGTCCCTCTTTGCACATCCTACTTCAAAAACCAGAGCCAAAACCAATTTAGACGTTATAGTAAAAAGCAATGCCTTGGCATGCAGTTCCTCCATGAAATCAGTTCTAAACTGTTAGTCATTTTAAGAGAAGCTCTAGTTTTGTTCTTTTCTGTACTTATAATAGAGTAGCCAATCATGCCATTTTGTTGGGAACTGAGGGACTTCCCAGGACATGAGGTTTTTCAGTACTAAAAAAAAGGTCTGGGGAAACCTGGGTGAGTTAGTCACTCTGTTTATGGTCTATTTCATAGTCATAGCTTGGCTTTGCTTTGTAAGTTGCAAAGCCCTTTGGCATAAAATTCCTTTTTTGTTTGTTTCTTTAATAGAATCTCCTTGCCTCAGTCTCCCAGTTGGGAATAGGTACATGCCACCATACTCTGCTTTTTTCATTAATTTTTTTTTTTTACATTTTCCCACAAACACTTACTTTACATATCAAAATATCTTTGCTCATACTCCATAGTTCTTGACAGTTAATAAACAGCTTTCAAAATTCCCAAAACACTACATTTTAAAGATAACTTTCAAAATATTTGTTACGAGTTTGTTTGTGACTCTACCAGCAGAGATAATATGGTTTTAAATATTTTGGAGAACATATGTACATGTCAGCTACTGAAACTGTTGAGAAGCAAACAGCCTGCATACGATTCACACATGAACCTTCCCAACTCAGTTTTGCCTACCAAATGGTCTGTGGTTTGCCATCTGAAAAATATGGAATGCTTCACGAATTTGCATGTCATCCTGGTGCAGGGGTCATGCTAATCTTCTCTGTATCATTCCAGTTTTACTATACGTGCTGCCCAAGTGAGCACCATACTCTGCTCTTTATAAGACAGGGTCTTGCTCCGTTGCTCAGACCAGACTTGAGCTTGCTATCCTTCTGCCTCAGCCTCTCTGAGTGGCTTGGACAGACACACACCATTGCAATCGGTTTTTAGGTTGGGCAGAAATTGACCCAGGTCTCTCATCTGGTCCCAACCTGTGAAGCACAGGGTCTTAGCAGTGTGACACAGTTGTAGGTGTTTGATATAAAATTCTAACCTGGTATCAACAGTCACAAACAAGGGCGCATACACTGGGCCGGTCTCATGTACACTAAACTCATAAGCCCTTCTCTCCTCTACTGGTTTTACCTCCAAAGTGACATAACGCTCTCTCTTCGTCGTGTCCCTCCTGTGCTTGCAGAGTCACTAAGAACCTTTGTAAGCACCAAAGACTGTGGGAAGGGGTCATGCTGACTCAGGCTTGTTATGTTGAGCACCTGAGAATTTGTCGTTGTCACTCTGCAGGACCCGGAGTGGAGATCCTTGATCAATTGAAAAGCACTCTGTGCGTGCCTGTGGGATGGGAGAGTCAGAAGAAGAACAAGCTGGTTTCTGGGGCAGTGTAGATGGGACTTTTCCTTTCGAGGAAAGAACTTGCCAAGCTACCAGACACAGCTCCAAGAGGCGGAGTCAGTGGCTATGTTCCTCTCTTTGCCATGGAAAAGTGGGTGCAGTGTGATCATCCACATTGCCCTCTGGGAAGTGGCACCCTTGCTTCTTGCTAGAGCAGAAAGAGAGGAACGTGTGTCCCCAACTTCCTCCTTTAGAAGTCTCCTGCTCAGTGCCATGAATGGGCTGGGGGCTGGGAGGCTGTGCTGTCAGAAGACATGAGGGCGAGGGTCCTTTAGGAACCAGTGTGGTTAACTCCTCATGTCTCTCTCAGATCTTGAAACCTGCAAGTGCCCACTCTCCAACCCAAGTGAGAAGCCGGGGAAAATCCCTGTCCCCCCGAAGGAGACAAGCAAGCCCCCCGAGAAGGCTTGGCAGGCGAGACAAGTCGTGAGTAACATTCCCTCTTCCCCGGCTCGAGGCCCAACACGAGCATGGTGGGGTTGTCCTGGCCCGTGGAGACAAGGCTGTGTCCTAGGCGTAGCGTTTGAATGAATTTGTTATACTCATCACCTCCACTGCTGCTCTTCTACTGACTGAGTCATGTGCACAAAGTGAGGGGTAAGCCATGCAGCACAAGAGGAAGAAGAGCCCGAAACCCAGGGCACACAGGTGGGACAGAGGACTTAGCATTAGGAAACCTGAGTCTGAGACCAGCTCAGCTACTCACCAGCTGCGTGACCTCGGGCATGTCATGGAACCTTTCTGGACGTATGTTTTCTTACCTCTAAAGTGGGATTGTTAGAATTTATGAACCTCCGGGATCTGCAGATGACATAATGGTCACATCGCTGGACTCCCACGTAGTCAACTATGATTTGAGTCCTGGATCTAGCAGCTTAAAACTCACACCGTGTGTGTGTGTGTGTGTGTGTGTGTGTGTGTGTGTGTGTGCAAAATATTGTGAGAGGAGAATGGTACTCAGACCAGGCATGTGTGCATGTGTGCCCATCCTGAGAGAAGAATGGTGGAGAAGGGACTGTGGTGTGGCCATGCCCCTGGGGAGTGATTTTTTTGCTTTCTGTCTCTCTATCTCTGTCTCTCCAGCAAGCACACATGCCCTATAGCAGAAATCTTTCTCAAAAAAAATTACGAACTTCCTAAAATTCAGTAACCCACGGCACCCAGCAGAAAATGTGGTCCCTGTCAGCAGATGGTAGCATCAGAAATACCCCAGGCTCATCCTCTGTCTTGGCTGACACTACCCTCCCCTGATTTTGCTGAGGCTAGGGATTCCACACCTCCTTCTTAGATCAAAATGACCCACTTAAGCAATGACAGATTGAAAATGCTGAGGGTGCCCAGAGTAACCCACTGGCAAATCTTTGAGCCATAATTATACTGGGGGAAAAGACTACCTTTCCTAATAATAGCAGCATGCTGAGCCTTGCTGGAGGCTATGGGTGCAGTGTCCAGGAGCCTTGGTCAAGTCCCAGGTCTGCCACGTATTAGCCGTGCAGCCAGGCAGGTCCTTCGTCCTTAGGGAACCTTAGTTTCCTCATTGGTAAGAGAGGATAAAAATGCTTTCTCTCTGACCAGCTGGTTGTAAGGACTGACTGAGATGATGTAGTCAGAGCGACTTGTTAAGGGTGAACTGCTGCTGAATACCAGCACAGCGTGATCACAGCGTGGACAGGAGACATTTTACAAGTCTCATTTTCAGATGAAGAAACCAGAATACAAGAAGGGTTTGTTATCTCATTCTAAATCTCATGGCTGGTCAGTGAGGGAGCTGGGGCTAGAATCTACATCCTCTGACTCTGGGGAGGAGAGGGGCAGAAAAGAGGATTCTATTTGGGGAAGAGCAGAACAAGATGAAGTATTTTAAGCTCCAAGAAAGTTTCCTTCCTTGCCCCCATGGCACATCCCACTGCCAATCAGCATTTACAGTCAGAAGGGCTTCGGCTAAAACAGCTGGTGTCCAGGGTGGCAGGGATGGCAGGGACTCAGGGGGCTGGGAGAGGAAGCAGGGGTGAGGTCCTTCTGTAGCACAGGAGGCCGGAGCTCAGGGTGGTTCCAGCGTGGTTCTGTCCTGTTTGGGAGCAGAATGGCTGCAGCCCTTTCACTGGTGGCCTCCAGAACCTGATCCTGCTCCCGGGAGCTGACTAACACTCTTGACCTTTGACCCTAACCCTTCTTTCTCTTTGTCCCTGATTCAAACATCCATTCACTGCTGTCATTGAACAAAGTAGCACTTGTCTCAAAGGACTGTGACTACATGAACCCTTCCCGTAGGGTCATTTGGTGTAGCGTGAGTAACCCAGCAAGAGGAGACAGCCCAGAAAGCTGCGAGGAGCCCCCCTTAGCTCACTGATCATCCTTTCTGCCCAAGGAGGTCCGAATCATTCCTGTAGGAGCACCCACCCTTCAGCACATATAGAGCAGTCTATAAGACCTGCTTCTCCCTCTTGACTCCAGAGTCTAGAGCGGGTGAGCGCCCAAGCATTCTGCATGGAGATGTGTTCGTGCACAGAATGGCAGCTACTGGTTTGCAAGGACTCTTGTTTTCTTGGACCCGCTGGAACCTGGAGGGCAGAGCACTTTAAGTTTTAACCAGAAGTTATCACGAACACCCAGGAATGGTAACGATCTTAGGAACTGGTTATGGAGACAAGGTTGGGATGGTGTCGGCGTGGACGGTGAGATTTGAGGTGCTGCTTAAGCATTTAGGGGTATGTCTTAGAAGCTACTGGAGAGACCAGCAGATGCTGTAATGGTTACATCACTGCAATTTGAGTCCCAGACCTGGCAGCTTAAAACTCACACCAGGTGCGTGTGTGCCTAAGATCCCAAGAGGAGAATGGAGAAAGGATTGCAGTGTGGCCATCCCCACTAGGGGGCAACTTCTCGCTTTCTGTCTCTGTCTCTCCAGTGAGCGCATGCATCCTATAGCAAAAATCTATCAAGAAACCGGGTAGCGCACCCATCCTATAGCAAAAATCTATAAAGAAAAAAAAAAAAAAAAAGAAGCTACTGGAAATGTGGATCTGGAGTTTGAGGAAGTTGGGAACTAGAAGTAGCATTAGAGCCGCATCCTCAGAGGTGATAGTGGAAATGATAGCTGGATACGTTTGCAGGAGAGAAGTAAGAGAAAAAAGAAAAAGAAAGGATGACGAGCCTCTGGGAGGCCAAGGAAGAAGAGCCAGACAGGAGATGGGGAAGGAATAGTCAGGGCAAGAGAGAATGGACCCAGGAGTGTGATGCGGCACCCTAGCCTCCCAGGGCACCTGTTGCTGGCCACACTGAGGGCACAGCCACCCTCTGGTGTGGGGCCCCACTTGCCTTTTCTCTTCCTGCCTACCTGAAGTCCCAGAGCGAGCCTGGGACTGTGGGAAAAAAAAAAAAAAAAAAAAAAACAGGGCAAGGTAAAATTCCCCCAAGGGCCAGGAAGGACCACTCACGGGAAGAGGGGACACTTCCATCACCCTTCTCCCTCCATCCTCAAAGTCCATCCCAGCCCCAGGAGCACAGAGCGATTGATGGCTTGTGGTTCAACGGTAAAAATATTTTTGAAAGTGATGAGCAGCTGCTAAAAGGTGAGGAGGGCTATGAGAGCTGGGGACCACAGGCCCCTCCCTCCCTCTGCAGATGCCAGTTTTGGCCTTTGCCACAGGCTGGGACCCAAGGCACCCTGGCTCGAGGTATGTCTAGCGATAGGCAGCTGCTCGTCTCCCCTCCAGCCCTCAGCAAGCAGGCTGCTGCCGAGGTGATCTTGCTTTGGGCAAGGAAATGCCGAATATGAAAGCGACAAATACGGTTATTTCCCACTAATTCCACAAACTCCAGGAATCCTGTCGGATGGGCGGGACTAGGGTTTGGGGCCTCGTCACTGTGCTATTATTTCAGTATTACATAAGGCCATCAAGTCATTTCTAAATGTGTTGGGAATGGCCCAAAGAATGGAAAATTACCATAACAGGCCAGAGGCCCATCAGCTGTGGGCCCCAGGCCCTGTCTGTGCCTGGATAATTTTAGTGACTTTGTATCCCTTTCCACCTCCTCCCCATAGCTGGAGCCTCTTCCAGCCCTAAATTCCTCTCCATTTTTACACTTGCCTGGGTAATCCTTTTAGAAAGGAAGATCAGTGTCACTGGGTTGACACAGAGTCAGCTGAGTGGGAGGGAAAGTGGGATGACTGCACGAGCTTCAGTTGAGACTAAATTTCAAGAAGGAAACGGGGACTCCCCCACCCCTCCTCCCACGGTCCTTTCTCTCTTTTCTTAAAAATTTTTGCTATAGGGTGCGTGTGCTTGCTGGAGAGAGAGAGCAAGGAGTTGAGAGAGAGAGAGAGAGAGGAGGAGAGAAACCACCCCCTCACCCTCGTGTGGGATGACCACCACCAGGTCTGGGACTCAAATGGCAGTTGGCTCCCTGGGATCCAGCTGCCTTAGCCATCACATAGCCGGCTAGCCCTGAGCCCTTTCTCATACTCTGCTCCCCTGGGAGTGTGAGAGCACCTTTGACATAGAATAATCAAGCTGTTTATCACATTTCTTTCTTTCTTCTTTTTTTTAGAATTACTTACTTAATTTTATTTTTTATTATTATTATTTTAAATTTGAGATAGGGCACGTGTGCTCAGCAGAGAGATACATAGAGAGAGGGAAAGTGAAAAAACATGTATTCATCTTCATTATAACCTTGTGGGATGATTTTCTGGCTTGGCAAACTGTGTTAGCGTGACAGTAGCTCATGCCCATTAGTGCGATCACATGGAATTCTAAATTGTAGGTCAGAGTACCCCAGGACCTCGGAGAACCTCGCCTCCTCCCTTGCATTGCTTTCCCCTCTGTCCTGCCTCTTTTCTTTGCTGTTCATGTTTCTCTTCCTCCCTTTTCCTTCCTCTGTGATTTCCCTGTCATCCATCTCTAGGGCAGCATGTGGCTCTAGCGGGCCCTGCCTGCCTTGCTGGAGACCCTCAGGGTTACAGAGGTCAATATCCCTGCCTTAAGCTCACCGTAGGGCCGTGAGTTGGATGGGAATTCTGCCTTAAGCTCACCGTAGGGCCATGAGTTGGCTGGGAATTCCGCCTTAAGCTCACCGTAGGGTCGTGAGTTGGATGGGAATTCTGCCTTAAGCTCACCATAGGGCCATGAGTTGGATGGGAATTCCGCCCTAAGCTCACTGTAGGGGCCATGAGTTGGATGGGAATTCTGTCTTAAGCTCACTATAGGGCCATGAGTTGGATGGGAATTCTGCCTTAAGCTCACTGTAGGGGCCATGAATTGGATGGAAATTCCTCTCTATTCTCTCGGGAAGGATTACAGACCTTTAGGCGCCAGGTTGAGTGAGGGCAGATGGTGTTGGAAGGAGAAAATTCCCTGTGTGTGGAAGGTAGACAGGAAACAAAAAGAAAACCAGGGAGGGCATGACGGGAAGGGCAAAGCCTT